GATAGCACTTAAATGGACCTGCTGCGGCGGCGCCTCCAACCTATTGGACTATGTAAGTTACATATAAGTAGCTCCAACCTTGTTTGTTCAGCTGTCCGCCCCGTATTCTCCTATTCCTGCTCAATGTTTCTGGTCATGATATGAGTCAAGAGCTTGAAAGGCTCAACTGCATATCATCCGGGAGGTCTGTTGGAATTGGGATCCCCGAGCGATGCTTAGCCTGAGAGACGCTTATGTTTTCTTGCCCGCAACGAAGAGCGCCAAATGGCAGGAACGCCAATCATTTGGATCAAACCGGGATCCGGAATTGCTGTCCTTCAATTCTGTTCAAAAATCGTCGGATTTGGGCCATTTTCAATTTATTTATTCATTATTGCGGATTGCAGTGAGGTCGACAAATTGAAGCTAGAAATTTCAGGCATATTCACGATTCGAAAACTCGGCGCGGGCGAAGCTGCGGTTCAGAAATGGTCGAGATTGGCTAACGCGTCAAAGATACCCCTGCACGTGTTGAGATGTACACCTACCATTGAAGGTGGGTCCGGAACCTGTCAAAATGCAGTGATGACGTCTTGGAAAAAAATGTCCCAGAAGGTGGGAAAGCTAAAAAATTAATTCAATTTGAAAGGTTATGTTTGTGGGTACCTCAGAAAATCAGAGGTACATGCAGATACCCAAATCACATTTTTGGGAGAAGAGGGCATGAAGGGAGGAATCTTTTCAACCGGATGAAATGAGATCGGACAAAAAGACTCTAGGGGATCTCAGAAGGTCAGGTCGTTGAAATCTCCGTTAAATTTTTACGACTGCAGGACAAGCGCTGCGGAAGTGCCTGATGACCAACGGCGAAGAAATGGAATATCAGAATGGCCAATGGAATGGCAAAATGGCCGATGAATATGGAATAGCGCGATGGCCGATGGATATTGAATGGCCAAATGGTATACAGAAAGCGGCGTACGAGACTCCCGATGAAGGTGGACGACATGTCCGGGACGAGTTTCAGCTTCCATTGCTGGAGGCAAGCGAGCAAAGAGAACGACGGACAGAGGCGATGGCCCACTGTTTACTCCAACAGAGAACAAGGTAAATAATCCCACAAGGTGATCCCAGAGCTTAGAGCCCAGACCAGAGGCTGGAACTTAGGATAATAAATCCATCTCGAACCAGGCACTACGCCGCTGAATGCAAGGCGCCGATAACGCCGGCCCCGACGAAAGAAAATCAACCGGAAAAAGATCGCATTCATTCTTCAAGTACAATATCTCCGAACTGAATCCAGATCGAAGAGCTGTCAGGTACACTTCACTCGGGATTGGATAAAATGATTCAAGACACGCCTTCCTCCATCCTCCATTAGGGCGTAAGTTTGTATATATAACTCACTGCATTCAGACCCCCCCATAGGCACAGATGTGCCCACCTTCACGATCCCTGCCTACAGACTGCCCACCCAAGCCGATGTTGGTCTACCCTAATAGGCATGGCCGGCGTTGGTCTAGCATCCCTACCGAGGCAAAGCCTGCCCACCTTGGTAGATCTTCGCCAACAGTGGTGTGTCTATCTTGGCCAACCTTGGTCAACCTTGGCCGACCTGGGTCTAGGTTGGTGTTGGTTGGAATGGCTGGACAGGTACAAACCATGTCAGATTTGAATTTGGCTAACTAGGCTTAGCTAGGCTCATCGGCCCACGTGAGTCTATGTGTGCCTAATCCAGTGGGAATACCTAGACCAACCTCGGCAGGAATGGGCAGATGGATGGGCAAGGGTCGGCACACTGGTCTGCCTACACATCTGCCTATTAGGATCTGGCAGACCTGTGCCTACGGGGGGGTCTGAACGCAGTGAACTACGCGCTTCGCATCTCTCCATACAACCTCGTCCTTTACGATGAAGATTTCCTTCTCCCTGAATCTCCGTGCTCTCCTTGGCGCCTTTTTTATCGCCGGCATATCTTCCACGACAGCCATTCCTACCTCACACGATAATTCCGTCTGTGAGCCCAGAACTCATGTCGTGATCGACTCATCCACGGTAGAAATCTACAACTCTAGCAGACATGGAACCGAGGGCCACCTTCGTCTGTTCAAGATGATTCCCCTGGCCTGCCCAGAACGGTACATCCGCACGTTGCCCCGCGAGCTCTCATTCCGTACGGATCTTCAGCTCCGTGACACGCGCACGGAGCTGTCGACTATTGTCTTCCGCCGAGGCTTCTTCACCTGGGCCAAGTCAATTCTCAAGTACGTGCCCTTTGCCGTCAGCACGATCGTCGGAATCTTCGGGCTTGTCGATTGCGCCTGGGAGTGGAAAAAGAATGGGGTGACGGTGCCCGGTGGGTTGGCGTGCGTCCTTGGTGCCATCACGACCGCCTATGGCATCGGCGAGTTCCTTCAGCTCAGGGCCGCAGCCTCGCTTGCTACCGCAGCCACCAATGCACACGAGTTGCAAACCATCGTGGATAGGACGTTCTCTGAGGTCGGGACGCAGTATACCTTCGGCAGGCGGGCGAATCCCAGATTCGAAGCCGCCGTTACCAAATACCACTCCCTTATTCAGAACTTGACCCTTCCTGGGGTTCGCCACCATGCCAGTGGCAAAGATGTGACATTTTGGGATGTTGCTAGAGCAAATTCGACGCATCCAATCACCGTCTTGCACAGTAACCGAGCCTTTAAAGCAAACCATTCGCATGCCATCAATTTCTGGTCGAGTGTGGGGAACCCAGGCTCAGGGATCCCACGGTTTCACTTCATGGTCCCGTTCCCCTACGGTTCCAACACCACTTCCACTACGACATCTTCTGAGCTTCGCCGCCAGGCTCCTCCTCCTGCCTGCCCTGGGGCCGAGAACCATGACCTGGGGCAGGGTTCCAAACAAATCTGCCATCCTAATGGCATACCGCCCCCGAACCCGAATGCTCCCGGAGCCATGTACTACGGTTTCGACCTTTACGGGACCAAGACGCAGGTAGACGAGTTCCAGGATGACTTGGGATCGACGTTCGACGATCAAAACGGATTCGTGCCGTCAATTGAGGCTATGGCGGATGGTATTGTGAAGGCGAACACGTGGGATACTTGCGTATGCCAGATGACTCAGAATACATGGATTTCGACAGGGAGCATTCAGATGTCGTGGGACAACACGTATGATGGGTACTCCCCATGCTTCAAGCCGAACTGCGACAATGATGCGATGATTTAAGGAGGAGAGTTTGTAGAGGGACGCTCGGGTGCATAAAGGGCGGGAAATTCCATAGTTGCGATATGTACATCATTTCTTTTTTTATATATAAGTTACATGGTTTGAATTTCCAGGCCAGCAAGAGAAAACGGGAATGGTTGATGGTTTTCCTCTTTGACTTCTTTGATACACTGTTTGATTAAAATACTTATGCCCCGCCGAGATGTAAAGTGAGGGAAAATCGCAGGACATCGAAAGTTTGAACGTGGTTCAAAAACCGGATCAAATCGGATCGTTCATTAAACTCGTTCGTATTAACAGACAGGCGAAGGAAAGTCTGGCCACTGGCGCCGGAGAGCGTGAGTTCCATGATCACTCCCCATCGCTTGATGCTCGAATTTACGGTTTGAGTGCACAAAATAATGTAGTTTGATTCATTGAATTTAGGATGCACTGGGGTGAATAGTACGGATGCGAACAAACGATTGGGCCAGGTGGCCCACTAGGCCGTTTTTGCCATTTTGGGATACTGCTGAAAGAAAAATCTGGTAAGCCATGAAACCATCGTGTAAATTCGCGAGAAATATCTTGGCTCACCCACAGGATGCATACCCTAGCTCCAAAGCCCATATACCGGTATCTACCTCACTTTATGCGTGGGATCAAGGTCAAAAATACTAAGGTGGCTCAGTACCCAGTCTTGGATAATAGCCACGGCAAACACCGTAATGTTTTCAAAATGCAAGTAACAGCGAACCCCGGATACTGGCTACATTTCCGCTGAAACCTGATTAATAGAAAGCCAGAGTGTACCGTACACTACGCTCGATTTCATCATACAAATGCATGCTTTACTTCGAGATGCAGGCAAAAAAAAGAGGAGCTGCCGTAGGGTGACCCGCGAAGTGAAACGTACCTCGCTCGCTGGATTTAATTTTCGGTGCAAAGAGTTCATTGAGCGAGGGTCTCACGTCCAAGTCATCGTCCTGCAAGTGCCCTGCTCTGTTCGACGTATGTATGACTTTTTTTATCGCTAAATATTATGTGGTTCCGGAACGTGAACCAACACCATGTTCGTGATGCGTGAACCGTAGTTTTGTCGCAACTCGTGGTTTGAGAACCTGGTTTTTGCTGGTTTTCTGCTCCTTGGTCAATGGTTTTCGATGATTTCAGTGGTTTTTGAAAGTTCAAAGTGGTTGGCGCCATTGAACACCTAGCTCCGTCCAAGTCCAGAGTTTGGTACAGAACCTCAGGGCTCGAACTTGCCGAGGCCGATCACTTGATGTTGATTGCCATAGCGGGCCGAGTCCCGGTTTCACTTCAACAGACTTTGTGTGCGTGCTTTGCTGATTGAATTTCAACTAATAAAGTGTACAGGTGGGAGACTACTATCTGTTATGGTGTTTGCAAAGTTACCCGCATTCTACATGTCACCTACAACACTCGACGCAGCAAGAGTTTACTAGTTCTTTGATTTCTTGTTCAAAATTGGTGTGATTACAAAAATAAGAAACCAAAAGCAGAGGTAACGTTAACTCGTCTTATGCAAGACATATTCAACAAATTGCCGTATCTTTCACCATTGATTCTCGCACCCTATGTCTTCAATCGTGGGAACCCGGCTGATGATCCGTTTATTCGGCGTCCCGGCAAACACTCGGGTAACCACAGACCACAGACCACGGAACGCACTAACCACGTTGCACGTCCGCCAACTGCAAACACATAATATTTTGCGAAAAAAGCTTTTATACGTATGAATGCGCAGTAGTAAATACTCCAGAAAAAAAAAAAAGTTTTGGAAAATGGAAGACTTCGGGCGCAGGGAGTCGCACCCCGGACGCTGGCTAAATTTATCTGACAACCGCTGGATAGAAAGCCAGGGTGTACCATACACCACGCCCAAGTTCTTATCATACAGGTGCCCAGCGCTAGCTATGAAGTTTATTTCGAGGTGCAGGAGAAGGGTCGCGGAACGCAAGTTCAAAAAGTTCAAGTTTGGATTCCTCTGGGGGCTAACAAATAAACCGAGTGCGCCATTGGTATACAGCAGTCATTTAAATGCATCACCCGCTTTTGAAGAGAGCAGTGGGAACAAAAAGAGCTACTCTCTCTAACGGATCTCGAACGCGGGGAGTCGAACCCCGGACGCCGGCTACATTTACCCTGAAACTGAAGAATAGAAGCCAGGATGTACCGTACACCATGCTCGAGTTCATCATGCAAGTGCATGATTTAATTCGAGATGCAGGCAAAAAAGGGCAGAATGAGTTGGACGCAGGAAGTCAAACGTAAATACCTCTCGCTCGCTGGATTTTATTTTCGGCAAAGAGTTCATTGAGCGAGAATTTCGGGTACAATCACGTCCAAGTGATCGTGACCTGCTCGGCGTATGAATTTGCTTAGAGGAGTAAATACTCGACAAAAAGAAAATTGGTCACCTACGATTCGGACGCAGGGAGTCGAACCCCGGACTCTCGCTGCATGCATTTATTCACATCGAAGCGACATGAAAAGCGAGGGTGCGCCGTGCACCACATCCGAATTAGATGCCTAGTAGGGCGGTTAACACAGTATGAGCTAGACCTTGGGAAAGAATGACCTACATAGTGTCTATAGTGCGGTGTAGTGAAGGTCTCTTGTTGCATAGTAATCCCTCGCTATGTAGTGCTATGTAGCACTACATAGAGCTCCATATGTAGTGTGGTGTAGTATGGTATAGTCCCCAAAATCAGGATTTGTTGATGCAATCTATTCCTGGCAAGCTACACACCCGGTTCCGGCGACTCCAAACTCGGGCGGTCGCTGCTCCAAGAAAAATAGACCTCGAGAGAAGAGAGGTCGTCCTTTGTGGTCGGAATCCTGTCGATAGCAAACGCGCAAAGAATGAATGACCCGCTGGATTCTTGTATTTCGATGGCCCCTCGGCCAACTTGGCCGAGGTCGGCTGAGGTTGGCCGAGGTTGGCCGAGGGGCTCGACTGGGTTGGTCGAGGTTGGCCGAGGGGGACCGGGTTGGTCGAGACCCCTCGGCCAACCTCGGCCAACCTCAGCCGACCTCAGGCGGTCAAGAGTGTATTCTTGTATTTCGAATTCGGTCCAGAGCCAAGGCCCAAAATCTAGAACACGTCGAATTTCTCACCGAATAAATTTGGCATCGAGTTGAGGATAACATGAAACATTTGAGCCCGAGACGTGAGAATTACCTTCCTTATCCGAGTGCGCCGCTTAATGGACCTGCTGCGGCGCCTCACCTAGTCCAATGAGCACAGTGGCTATAAAGCACAGATGTTAGCGTCGACGATTCGAGTCTAATGGCCACTGAAACCTTTGCACCTTCCGGACTGGATGAGGACCCTACCGCGTACCTCGCCCTCCCACGCTTTAACAACACCCTCCATTTTCAATTCGAGTTCCCGGGAACAGAGAGCCACACAGCGAACGTCACATACACACTCACCGACGCGCCCCCAGACGGCTCCTGGCCCGTCCTCGTCTTATTCAATGGACTCGGCGGACACCGCTTCGTGGCAACCCTGATCGAGGGCATCGCGCGCTCCCACCGCGTGCAGATCCTCACCCTCGACAAGCCCGACGGCGGCCGCTCCTCTCTGCGCCCCGGCGTCTCCATCCCGCTCGCCGCCCGCACCCGCTGGATGCACGCCGCCCTCCTCGCCGTCCTCGCCTACCACACCATCACCCGCTTCGCCCTCTTCTCCCACTCCAATGGCCTCTTCTACGCCCTCTACACCCTCCTGCACCTCCCCCCCGCGCTCACCGCGACGACCTGGACCCTCACCGGCCCGTTCGTCCCCGCGAGCATCAGCGGCTCCGTCGCCCTCCGCGTCGCCGCCGTCCTCCCCGCGCCGCTCCCCGGTGTGCTCGGCTCGCTCCTCCAGGTCGTCCCCCCGATCGCGCGCGCGGTCAGCTGGAGCGGGGGTCTCCTCTCTCTGAGTGCGGGGCTCCTCTCTCCCACTTCCTCTTCCGCTTCCACCGACGACAAGCCGCCGCACCAGCGCGGGTACATCGACCGCACCATCGGCCCCGCGTGCCGTGCGGCGATCATGCGTCGCGGGATGGCCCAGTCGCGCGTGGCGATGGGGCAGGAGGCGCTCTTCAGCCTGCACGGGGGCGACGCCGCTCCTCGTCCTGGCACGGCGAGTACTGGTGAAGCGGAGAACGAACCCGACAGCATCTGGGGCCTCGGCCCCGGCCCCTCCCCTGCCCACATCCTCCAAAACGCATTCACGCGCCTGGCGGGACTCTACCCCTCTTCCTCCTCCTCCTTGGGGTTGCAGATCCGCGTCGTGTATGGCGCCGCGGATGGGATGGTGCCTGTGCGGGGGCGGGTGTGGTTGAAAGGCGTGCTCGAGGCCGAGGGGCTGATACACAGTGAGGACGCGGACGCGTGGATAGAGGTGCCCGACGCGGGGCACGACGACGTGCTGTTCCTCGAGGAGGTGGTTGGTGGGATTTTGCGGCGCGTCGCGGGGGAGTAGGCGTGCTGGGGTGTTTCGATGGTCACCATTTAATTTGGGAGTTTCTTCTTGGGTATAACACATATCTAATCATCAGTAGCCTCAAGTTCATACCATGCCAGCTTCCGAGGTCTAGTCTTCCTTCAGTCTTCCTGCTCCGAGTCATAGACATATCCTATTGAATTAATACTGTAAACCTGTAGCTGTCACCGATCTAGATATACTATGAGCATCACTTGAAATTGAACTCGAAAAATGGCTGAACAACCGGTGGCCACTACTGTAGTAATTAATATACTTCTCGCCCGGTTTTGGTGAAGGTCATAATATTAATATTGTGAAAATCTTTCCGGTCCGCCGGGGTTCCCAGCGAAAAAGGGCTAGCGCTCGGAAATTATGAGTTATGAAAACTTTGAAATGGAAGGAAAGCGGCTCGGAAACATATATATAATTCATCTGAAATTTAAAGCTCTTTGGAGATCATGCCTGCCTTCGAATTCTCCGGTGGAATCACGCCGGTGCCGTTTTATTCTTTCGTTAACCTGAACTGAACTTGAAGCTGAAGACTCGGACCCAAGTTCACCATTCAACGTACAACGTTCAACGTCAACATTCAACTTCGGAGTCGGAGTCGGACTCTCTATATTATCAGCGACTGGGTACTGGGCCATCTTAGCGGTTTTGACCTTGTGAGGACAGATGGATTGGTGTGGATACAAATATATTTGCACTTTAAGGAAGCTACAGATCCTATGAGTAAATGGATAATTTTTCCGCGAATTTACATGATGATTTCCGGACCTGCCGAATTTCTCTTCTGGCACTTTCCCAAAATGGAAAAAACGGGGCAGTGGGCCACTGCCTTAAATCGCTGGTTTGGACTCGTTCTGGCCACCCAAATGTATCTCAAATTAGAAAAGTACTATGAGCCCACCATTATATACACCCAACATGTGAATCCAAGGTATTTCAGCAGTGTAAGCATTTGCCTTGAAGCCAAGGCTGAAGGGTGAAATCGGAGTTTGGATTGAATGGGGCGCTCTACAAAGCACAGACGAAATTTGTGCCAGAAAGGAGGGTACATGTGGCTACATACGATGTATTGGAATATACTAATCAGCATAGTATGGTCTCTACACACCAATAACCCCACCAAAAAAGCTCGTCTATACACGCTAATGGAATTCGTGGGTTTGGACATGTACCCCACCGTGGCCAGAAAGTCGAGCCGGTGAAAGCCCACTGCTGGGGGAGGGGACAATACTGTGTATTTAAAATGCACTTACAAAGTTCTAGGGGATTAGTTTTCATGGGTGGGTCACTATAGCGGCTGCTGTAGTGGACTACTGGAGATCAGATAGAGGTCATTCGTGAGGTTCCAGGAGACGAGACGGAGAGGTTTTGATGTATGCGATAGGCCTATGTCATTCACGAAGATCAGGCGATGAGAACGAGCCCCAGACCTTGTGGATCGGTGAAGAATTGGTGGAGAAATGGGCAGGAGAAAGCACAAAGGGGTGCTCGGAGATAAGAAATGATGTTCACACGCCTGCTGCCGCCATTATAATGACGCACTGCTTTTGATCGCCGCTATCATTTGCCTCCAAATTTGACGTACGGAGTCCTCATAGGTCGCATACCGTGCCATAGGTCTCACATTCCGACTTGATGTATTGCACTGCCTGGTATTATGCAAATGGCCCACTACCTAGACTGGCCCACTAGGCAGTCACTGATAATACTAGGAATTCTTGCTTGTACAGTTGTACTTGGCTGTTCGACAGTCGAATCATCCGCATACTTACAAGTTATGGCTATGCATATGCACTCCGAGACGCGCGCGTCATTCAAAATCAAATTGTATCCTGAGGCTTAGGGTAAATCTTCGACGAGCCTCCTACACAAATTCAAAGATGCCAGTAAAAACCAGTAAGTAGCCGCGTTTATTGACCGTTGCTAGTAGTATGAGTATCCGCAGACAAGACAACTACTGTATTCCGAAACGGAATACGGAATTCAACGCGAAACATCACCGGCACGGACTCCAGGGAGTCGGTGTCGTGCATATAGTATATACTACTTTTTAAATCGCATCCCTGGACCCTCACCACACGTGGTCGTACACCCGAGATAAGGCAAGGAATATAATCAGCGCCAGCTGCAGGTTCATCGTGAATGTCAAGTCAAATGTCTGCGTCTGCGAGACCGGTATCTCGTCATGAAAAACGGGTGTTTGAGTGTGACGGATGCGAAGAGCGTCGAGATCCGGCACAGGTTCAGAGGGGCGAGAGAACTGGCGTAAGTAGTAGATTGACCAAGACCGATGTATCTACGAACAGCTCAGGTATTTATACTACGAATCAAAGGCTGTTCATGGGTTTGATGAGAGCATATGGTTTGTGCGGCAGCACGGCATGGGCATAAAATCA